TTTGATCAGGCCACCGACCCCGATGAGATCTGACGTTACACTGGCTGAGGTTCCAACGAAGGCGGACACTGCTGACAGCCCTGGCAAGAAACACCTGGTCAAATGTTCCTGGTCCACATGCCGCTGGGCCAGGTGTGTTTCTCCACTCTAATCTCTCCAGACAGCCATCCGGCACCATAACTCCGACTGTCCATCAGCTGTTAGCCATGAGCCAGTTTATTGCATGAAACCCGAATCAAGAAGGACACTTGTCATACAATTGTAAAGGTCAAGCGTGTTGCCATTCCGCTGGCTTTAACAACAGTTTTCAAGAGTGGTATTATTTTTTGTTGGTAAATTGGCGCCAATTCACAGCAAACGGCGAATATTGTGCGAGAGATACTTGTGAGACTGAGGCGGTTTAGCATTTCAGGCAGCAGGCCACTACGGATGAGGGATGCGATTAGGGGCCGGGATAAAGGTCTGCATGCTCATCCGTCTTTAGGACGAGACGTGTCTCTTCGATAAGCTCACATACCCTCTCTTGCAGAAAAAGCCTGGCTCGATAAAGGTATAGCTTAAAAACGGAGGAGATTTACGCAGCTCATCACACAGGATGTCTCTGCATTTTCAAACACAAATATGATGAAATTCATGCTTTTACTCAGAAGTCCTGTTGTTTTTTTTGACAAAGCTTCCATCCGTGCGCCATGCAATTTTGAAAACCGTACGTTTGTTTTAGATTAGAAGTAGCAAATAAACCGATCAACGTACCAATTCAAGAAAACCACCTCGAAGAAATGCATGCTTCAAATCTGAATCTTTTGCTAGTGGTAGGAAAAACATTTAAAAAATTAAAGTGGGATAAAAACTAGCAGAAAGCTCGGTGAGATGAATATCAGACATTTGTACGTGTGAATGCTTGTGAAAATCTTTGATAATATTTTAGGGTTCCACTTGAACGACCCAGATGTGTATCTAGTTAAGCATGCGGAGAACTCCAAGAAACTCCCAGGGCATCATGAAGGAAGCCAGGAAAAAATAGAAATACAGAAAGAAAGAAATACAGTTCACTCTAGTAAGCAAATTTTAATGTGGGCCTGAAATGTACCATTTAGAGTGGGAATACCACAACGGCCGCAAAAGCGCTGACATTCATTAGAAAATATTAAGCACACCAAGTCTGAAAATGATTGTTAACGTGGTGTGCGGCCAGAATAACGGCATTTGAAGTTGTACATTGACACCATGGTTACTTTGAAAACATGAAGGCAACTCTTTTTCTCAATCGGGGTTTAAATTTGATCCAGACAGTGAGCACCATTTCCATAAATGGTCAAATATCAATCTGTGACCCACAATAACCCATGTCTCCTGTGTAAAAAATACACAATATCTCTGAAGAGATCCTGAAGAGCTAAATGGCTAAATCAGCTGGGGGGGGGCTGTGTGGGGGGGGTGCCCACAACACCAGTTCTGAGCTGAAGAGAGGGTGAAAGGGATTAGTGAGCGGGACGGAATTGTTGATGAATTGACATTGTCAAAACATTGCATAAAGTTCTGCTAACTTCACTCTCTCATTTGTTTTCAAACCACAGATTCACTATCATTTCACACAAACACCCAACACAACTCCCCGGCTACTGCTTGCCAACTTCCCACAGCTAAAGGCTGGTTTCTTTCCATAGCAACAAACAACAAACAATATCTCGGAGAAAAAGTGAAACAAGCAGATTGATTTTGGTTTTGCTTGAGTAGGACAATTAAACAAAGATCCAAGGATCGATAACCAATAGCTCAATAAACAAATCACGTTAACCAAAATCGGGTGTACCAGAACCAAATGGTCTCCTTAAGACAATGTTTAGAGTCATTTGCTAATTTGTGGAAGTCAGAGACATCACAACATTGGCTCGATCATCGGTCATCAATCTTCAAGCATTGACAGAATACACATATCATACAAGCTCAAACTTGTCAGGTTGTCCACCCGACACGGGTATCTGTGTGTGTGGTGTGTGTGTGTGTGTGTGCATATAGAGATAGCAACTACTCACCCTCCCAACTGAGTACCTTGTCATATGTCCAAAAGGAGTTGAAACAGCAAATCTCTGACAGAGACACACTCACATTTCCACAGTAGAAAACTTTTCCTTCTGCCCGCTGCTATGCCTGCATGCTTCCACTGTTTCTTTCTCACTCGCCCCTCTCTCCCCTCCCTTGCCTCTCTCTCTACCCTCCCTCGTCCCCTCTCTTCAACACTTCCTGGACAGTATGTTTACGCAATCTGCCCCTCAGAGGGGGCAGGCTAAACCCAGCACTCGCTCCCCTACTTTTATCAACCCCCCTCTTTCAGCAAACAGTTATTTCTTCGCATGCCGGATGTGTATGAGGCAGATGTGTATGTGTAGATGTGTGCTCACACAGAATGTGTGTGTGTGTGTGCCCTATTGAATGAGGTTTGTGAATCTCTGTGCCACCATCCAGTATTTGACTCATGTCGAGGATACGCTGAAGCGAGACAGGGAAGCATAACAGGGGAAACTAAGAGACAGGGAAGCATAAGAGAGGAAACTAAGAGACAGGGAAGCATAAGAGGGGAAACTAAGAGACAGGGAAGCATAAGAGGGGAAACTAAGAGACAGGGAAGCAAAAGAGGGGAAACTAAGAGACAGGGAAGCATAAGAGGGGAAACTAAGAGACAGGGAAGCAAAAGAGGGGAAACTAAGAGACAGGGAAGCAAAAGAGAGGAAACTAAGAGACATGGAAGCAAAAGAGGGGAAACTAAGAGACAGGGAAGCAAAAGAGAGGAAACTAAGAGACAGGGAAGCATAAGAGGGGAAACTAAGAGACATGGAAGCATAAGAGGGGAAACTAAGAGACAGGAAGCAAAAGAGAGGAAACTAAGAGACAGGGAGGCATAAGAGGGGAAACTAAGAGACATGGAAGCAAAAGAGGGGAAACTAAGAGAAACGGAAGCAAAAGAGGGGAAACTAAGAGGCAAGGAAGCAAAAGAGAGGAAACTAAGAGACATGGAAGCATAAGAGGGGAAACTAAGAGACAAGGAAGCAAAAGAGGGGAAACTAAGAGACAAGGAAGCAAAAGAGAGGAAACTAAGAGACATGGAAGCAAAAGAGGGGAAACTAAGAGACATGGAAGCAAAAGAGGGGAAACTAAGAGACAAGGAAGCAAAAGAGGGGAAACTAAGAGACAAGGAAGCAAAAGAGAGGAAACTAAGAGACAGGGAAGCAAAAGAGGGGAAACTAAGAGACAGGAAGAAGAAACAAAAGACATGGGAAACTAAGAGACATGGAAGCAAAAGAGGGAAACTAAGAGACAAGGAAGCAAAAGAGAGGAAACTAAGAGACAGGAAGCAAAAGAGGGGAAACTAAGAGACAGGGAAGCAAAAGAGAGGAAACTAAGAGACATGGAAGCAAAGAGGGGAAACTAAGAGACATGGAAGCAAAAGAGAGGAAACTAAGAGACAAGGAAGCAAAAGAGAGGAAACTAAGAGACATGGAAGCAAAAGAGAGGAAACTAAGAGACATGGAAGCAAAAGAGGGGAAACTAAGAGACAGGGAAGCAAAAGAGGGGAAACTAAGAGACAGGGAAGCAAAAGAGGGGAAACTAAGAGACAGGGAAGCAAAAGAGGGAAACTAAGAGACAGGAAGCAAAAGAGAGGAAACTAAGAGACATGGAAGCAAAAGAGAGGAAACTAAGAACTGGAAGCAAAAAGAGAAACAGAGACAGGAAGCAAAAGAGGGGAAACTAAGAGACAGGGAAGCAAAAGAGGGGAAACTAAGAGACATGGAAGCATAAGAGGGGAAACTAAGAGAGGAAGCAAAAGAGGGGAAACTAAAGACAAGGAAGCAAAAGAGGGAAACTAAGAGACAAGGAAGCAAAAGAGAGGAAACTAAGAGACATGGAAGCAAAAGAGGGAAACTAAGAGACAGGGAAGCAAAAGAGAGGAAAGAGACAGGGAAGCATAAGAGGGAAACTAAGAGACATGGAAGCAAAAGAGGGGAAACTAAGAGACATGGAAGCACAAGAGGGGAAACTAAGAGACAGGGAAGCAAAAGAGGGGAAACTAAGAGACAGGGAAGCAAAAGAGGGGAAACAAAGAGACAGGGAAGCAAAAGAGGGGAAACTAAGAGATAGGGAAGCAAAAGAGGGGAAACTAAGAGACAGGGAAGCAAAAGAGGGGAAACTAAGAGACAGGGAAGCATAAGAGGGGAAACTAAGAGACATGGAAGCACAAGAGGGGAAACTAAGAGACAGGGAAGCAAAAGAGGGGAAACTAAGAGACAGGGAAGCAAAAGAGGGGAAACAAAGAGACAGGGAAGCAAAAGAGGGGAAACTAAGAGATAGGGAAGCAAAAGAGGGGAAACTAAGAGACAGGGAAG